ATCTTTTGATAGTGCCTTGCCTAACATAGTTGATTGTTTGCTTCAGTTGCACTATTAGGGACTGAAATGCTCCAAGAAAGCTCTTTTCAGGCTGAGCTAATCAAAGTGACCACAGCTGATCACAGTTGAAAGTCAAGTGCCTGTGTGTGCCATTGAGAAGGTGATTAGCTACACCTGACTGAGTTTACAAGTCATTTTTAGGAGGAGGTGTTCCTTTTTCCAAATCTGCGATTCTCTTTTTGAATTTTTTAAAAAAAAATTCTGACATGTTGGTGTTCTATATCTTTCACTTGGATGTTAAAAGTTGCACCTAGTAAATACAGCTCAATAAAACAAAAGCTGTGACTGTCTTCATTTCAGGGTGCAAAGCAACAGGATGTGATTATTTGAAGGGGGGGGTGAATCTTTTCTATACCCACTGTATATTTTTCTTTTGTTTGCTATATTTTTTTTTTTGCTGTGAAAATAGAGTTACCCTTTAAACACACTGAGGCATAGACATGCATCATTTTATTGCATAAGCATGCATGACTATGTACTCAGCAGTCTCCCTATTATGCAACTGATCTGCGCAAATAATCCAACCTGGATGATCAATATCTACCAAAAAAAAAAACAACAAAAAACAGCAGGCTTAGGTTGGTGGACAAGGTGTGAAGATACAGATATTCACACCAACAGGCCAAAACTGGATTCATTGAGAGACCAAGCAGTGTTCATGGGTGTCTCAAAGTGGAATTTCAGTCAATAGCAAAGGCTAAACCTACTCCCACCCCTCATTCTAAAGCTATTCTATCTAAATCTGTAAAGAAAAGATCTGTATACCTACTACGGTTGCACCGATACTGGTTTTTTAAAAATCGGTGAGTACCAATACTTGTGCTCATGTACTCACTGATACCGATGCAATGCGATTTGAGCCCGTACAAAATGGGCTCAAATAGCACCGCAAAGAAACGCATTGATTTGAACAGGAATTCCGTGCGATTCCTGTTCAAATCACGTGGTTTACCTGTGGGTGCTGTGCGATTTACAGAGCGTTTTGAGCCATACAACCTGAATGACTCAAATTGCACCACACCTGCAAGGAAACCAGTGATTTGGACAGGAATCGCACTGCTGCTTCAGCTAAAATAGCAAGATTTCAGTTCAAATAGCATGCGATTTGAGCTCATTCATTTTGTATGGGCTCAAATCGCAGCACAAAAGGTATCGGCTTCTGGTATCGGAGCATTTGCATGAGTACTCGTGCAAATGCTTAATATCACAGCACTGATACCTATATCAGTGCAACCCTAATACCTACCTATTCTGAAGCTGCTCCACTCCTGTCCCAGGCTGAACTGTGAGCGGCGGCCTCTGTGTGCAGGAGAGGCAGCCAGCAACAGATGCCCCATATTAAGTCTATGGGTGATGTCATCTCCCAGTCCTTGTCAGCTCTCTCCTGCACACAGGAAGCCACCACTGGAGACCAGAGCGGAGTGGCTTTAGAATAGCATGTATAGCAAGCTTTTCTTTACAGGGTTAGATAGAACAGCTTTAGAATGGAGGTGGGAGTAGGTTTATCCTTAATTAGCTATTGACTGTAATTCCACTTTAGGGTCCTTTCACACGGACCGCTGATATACCCGCTGCTCCATAGAGGAGAAAGGAGGTTCCAATCGGGTCCGCCTGAAAAACGGGCAGGCGGACCGGATCAGAACATCCATGTGAAAGAGCCCTTAAGAAAAAAAGTCTCTCCATACAAAACAAATATTTATCTTTAGCTCCTGAAACGTTTGTGTGTTTAGATTTAGAAATTTGATTTTCTGCACTATAACATTCAAGGATTAGTTCACCTTCACAGAAAAAACCCTCCACTCCCTGCTGTACTTACCTGCAGGACTGTGAACTGTCAGCACCCCTGCACCCAATCCAGCTGTAGGGGGTTTGTAAATCCTGCTATTCTCCCTCTTCCCCATGCAGTGCTTCTAGGACAGACTAGATCAATTCACTGTGACTGTGTCTCCAACCAGAATTGATCTCATTTGGCCTTTTCTTAATGCACAAAATGTACACAATGTGATATTCACTTAACTCTCAAAGAGGAATGTGTTCTGTGTGAATGCACTGGTTACAGAATGCAGTGACAGGAGACTTGACAAGGATGCCCTTCATCACCGAAAAAAAAAAAAACCCCAAAAAAATAAAACACAAATACTTATTTATCAAGCTGTGTACTTTTCAGTGCAAAAAGGTTGGCTTTACCTTCATGCAGCTGATACACAGTAACCTGTGTTGAGTTTTAAATGCTATGTCCTATGGCATTATAACACAATCCTCTGAAAAGGTAGGCTTTAAGCATTGGTACTTTGAATTACCGCTCTTACCCTAGGTTCACACCTAAGCATTTTCTGCAGTTTTGCAGGAACGCAGTACAGAGCATTTAACATGATTTCTTATGGCAGATGTACACACCTGTGCGTTTTCACCCAGTGTATTTTAGAAAGGGTCAGGGACTTTTTTGAACACAAAAAGTTGCATTTTTGGTAGACAATGGAATTGCTGCAGAAAAGTATGTATTTATTTTAATGTTTTGTGTTTTTGATGCGTTTTTGCCACGTTTTGCATTTTAAATCTGCCTAGCAACAAGGAAAAAAAAATAAATAAATAAAAACCGCCCAAAAACCGCAAAACGCAAGTGCAAAAACGCAACACAATGCAGAGACAGCTCAAACGCAACCTGCTTAGGTGTGAACCTAGCCTTAAAGTGTAACTAAACTCAAAAATAGAAATGCAATATATTGTAGCTTACCAGTCACTGGATGTTTTGGTTGCGCTAGTTTTCTTTTTTTTCCCTTTACTTTCATGTGGTGATTAAACAGCTCAGTGTCAGGGAGTCTGCATTCACTACTCTACTGTATCTATAGAGGAGCAATGTAGCTATCCTTGGATATTAGCATTGTCAATCAGTGGAGAGGGTAGTGTTAAATGGACCAGTAGATTTGAATGCCTTATATAAGTGATTAACAATTAAAAGCCCAAATCCAACTAACACTTTATAAGCAGTTGCAGAAAACAGTTTTCTTTCTATTTGGAATTAAGTTTCTATGTAAAAGAATAAAAAGCCAACAATTGTAAGCACCCCTGTGAGTTTTAAATGGTTTGTCTCAACCCTCTGCCACTCTTGCTGGACAGCTTGGTCTTTTAAAAGGAAGCTGAGAAACAGACTTACTGGTTGGATCACCGGGCAATATTGTTTCAGGGGGGGACTCGGATAAAGAAAGACTGCAGTGTTAAAGCAGAACTAAATCCATCAACCTGACTGCTTCCCAAAACAATTACATTGAAGGTATGATGTGAATGATAACAAGCAGTTATTTCTATTCTCAACCAAACTTTCAACCCATCCAATGGCTGACGTCATAGCTAATCACGTGTGCAGCACCATGGCAAATTCAGATCAAATAAAGGCCAAGATGGCAGCCTCCTTGGCTATAAAAGATAGGAGGGTTTAGTTCCGCTTTAATGCTATTGACAGACTATCATATTTTTGGCCATAGTGTCACTTTACGCTTGCCCACTAATGAAAAATAAGTGTTAAATTTTAACTGCCAGACATTTACAATGAAAAAGTATAATATCTGTGCATATTCCTGAACTGTAAACCAACTAAAGTATTTGTTCATATTAAGAAATAAATGTGATGGAAAACTGCATATCCAAAATAATCATTGTGTTGGCTTTATGTGTAAATTGGTAGTGCTCCAGAATGTAGAGAGATGACAGCATACAGAATAATCAGCCTTACAAGGGAATACTTAAAGATCTTGGTATGTGTACACAAGGCCTGTAGCCAGGAGGCTGTGCTTAGCCGATCAGCTTTGGGCACAAGCCTGAGCCTCAGCTCTAACCACGCAAGAAGTGCTGGTGGTTGTCTGGCATACAGTGCTGCAGGATATAAACACAGAACAAGCTGCCAAATCACAGAACAAGCTGCTTAATATTCTGGCCACTTGTTCCTGCAGCGTACTCCATTCAGAGTTCAGCATTCACCTTTCTGCAGAGCGCAAGATGAGAAGGGAATACAATCTGTCGCATTATAGTGGAGGGGGGGTGAGCAGGCCCTTCAAACAATTTACACACAAGATCTGCCCTGTATAAAACAAGGCAGCAAAGCCAATCATATTTCTTCATTTGCTTCTCAAAACCATTCCAGTCGCTGCAGAATTCACACGAAAAGGACAATAAGCTTAGAATCCCACCACTCAAAGACACTGAAAGCAACAGTAAAGCATATCACCCAAGAAGAGGTTTTAAATGAAATGGTGATAAATTGGTATGGTTCCAAAATGCAGACCAATAATAAATCAAAAGATATGGATTACATTGTCAGAGAAAAGAAAAAGATAAGACAGGCTCCCCAAGTGCTGTTCTCACTTACAGAACTCATTGAAAGAACCACTAGACTGCAGATACACAGAACCACAGCTGACAAGGCTTGAAATTATATTAGCCAAGAAAGACTAGAATTAACAACGCGACAGAACAAGGCAAGTTAAATGCTGTAAATATTCCGGATTCACAAAAACACAAAACATAGAAAACAGATGTACTGCTACTGGAACGTGGAAAATTTGAAGAGTTGTACTGCAGGCTAAAAGAAAGATGAGTTAAATCTAGGATGTAAAGACAATACACAAAGAAAATCTACAAAAAGCATACTAAAAGAAGAATGGAACCTACAAAAGACAGATATACACAAAAATTGGAACATGTTTTCCATGGCATCGAGGTTTGACTTCTCCGATTCCTAAAACAAGAAAGTAGTGGTTGAAGGAAGCTTCTAGGGCTACGTATGGTGGAAGAACCGAAGGGTCAAAAAAAGACGAGACAACAAGATGGTTTATCAAGGATCTCAGGTGGTGGGTTGGTGAGGAAAAACGGGGCACACAGATTTTAACTAGATCTCATCTAGCTACTAAAAAATCCACTACGATACGGGAGAAGGGTGGACTCACTCTGCAAGACGCTTACGGTGGCCTGGGCTCGGATCCAAGTTATGGATGGGTTTTGTCTCAGGTCATTCCGTCGGGCGTCGTTGCTTGCCCGGCACTCATATGTGCCAGAATCCTCCAGTGTCAGACGTGTTATTCTCAGCACACTCACCCCATTTGTGCCATAGGCTGTATTTATAAAGACCCGGCGCTTCCTTGCACCATCCCACAGCTGTTTGAAAGACTCAACCCGGTTGACTTCAGCATACCACCATTGGATCTCCGGTGTGGGGATCCCCGCCACATCACAGTAAAGTTCAAAGGCATCCCCTGTTAGTTTAGTTTCTGACATAGGCGACTTGACAAACCCAGCTATGGTTAGAGGGGTTAGCGGAGAGGCAGTGATAGACCAGTGGGAAGAAAAAGGACAAGGTGCAGAAAGAAAAAGAAAAGCAAATAAGAATGCAGATAACAGAAAAGATTAAAAAAGAAGAAAGACAATTTTGTCTAGGCTATTTACAATTTTTCAGCACGGACAGTCTTCAGAAAAGAAAAAAAATAAACACTTCCATTGCAGCAAATTATCCTTCACACCAATCATACTTATTTTACACTCTTAAATGCCATGATCTATAAAGAAGACTATATGTATATATATACACACATTTTCTTACCATTAGAGCAATAGGCAAAGCCATGGATTGGTTTTCTGTGAAAAACATGGGATTTGAAAGTATCCACAGGCAAAAATTAAAAACTGTTTTGTAAATTTACCATAATTAGTGTACATAAAGTTTTCTTTTAGTAACACTTCCAAATTAGCCTTAAATACTATCAATTATTACCTTGTGATCCTGCTATTTACATGCCCTGTGCACGTCCCTCTCCACCTCCTGTTTCTTATCCCTCCTCTGTTTTCAGGACCCAGAAGTCACACCAAGTCATTGTCTTTCCAAAAAGTGCTATTTTCCTCAGGCAATCTCTTTACTGCATATGCAGTGAAATTCTCAGGCGGAGCTCTGGCAAGTATTTTAATAGCTTTTCATTAAAATAGCCATCTTAGCAATATTAAAAAGTATCCTTTGGGACAAGCTATTTAGGTTGACTTTCCATTTACTTTAATCATAAATTCATGACCCGTAAAACCAAAAGACATACTTCACCCAATTCAGTGATTGTTTCACACACTAAAGCAGGCCATAGACTGTTTGAATCTTGGCCAGTTTAGCAGGGACCGGCTGAGATTGGAACCATGTATGGGCAGGTTGAATGTACCCAAGTTGACCGATCAACTTGGATACAAACAGCCTGTCGGATGTTACATGCAACGATTGCTCACGCCTATTATAGCCACTAGCAGTAATCACTATGATCTACTGGCAGGGAGAACACAATTGCTCTGCGGGAGGGATTCCCCCATCAACATGGTTGCAGGAAAGAAAACATGGCCAGCTTTAGAAGTCACTTTCTTGATAATGTGTAATTAGCATGGAAAATGATTACTGAATTGGGTGGGGTAACTGCCTGTTCGATGATTTTAAGGATCACAGATTTAAGTACTGTTTCACTAGACAGCCAGTGTGAGACTCTGCCCATTTCTCTAAAGTTAATAGCTGATGGTGCTCTGTGAGCAAAATGGAAGGACCAGCAAATCAGACTTTGTACTGTACATGATTTGTCTTACAGTCACATCCCTAAAACCACTTGAATGTGGACAGGACTGTGGACAGCTTGTGTATTCTACTGTGTTAGAACTGTATCTAGATTTTTCATTCCACACAGGCATTTTGCTTTATAAAATAATTAACATCTTCACAAAAAGTTTTATTGAAGAACTAATGACACATGTCATATGTGCACACATTAAAGCAACATGTAACTTGTATATGCCGTAAACCTGCCACACAAAAATTGTAGCAGGTCAACTACAACTAAAGTATCTACAGCAACTGTCTAGTCCCACTGTAGTCAGGGAATGCCATTACCATGTGCTGTTTCACTTAACAGACTATTTGGATAAAATGACTAGGTCCTGCATGTTGGAAAATTATAATGCAAAGAGTTTACTGTGTGAAAGCATGTATTAGCCAATTGTTGGGTATGACACTTGAATTTGTTACATCACTTCAGAAAATCTCACAGTATATGGCCATCAAAGAACCTGAGAAAAAAATAAAGTCTCTATCCTCAACTAGTTCAGAACTCATCTGTGCAGTAACATGAAGGGAATACACTTCTTCTAGTAAAATTCTCCAATGATGGATTGCACTGTTGATGCTTCATCATCAGTGAAGCCAGAATCAGGATGACAGACCCTGGGCCTGCATATGTCAACTCCATATTTATGCCCTCACAGGTTGTCCTCATTATACAATAACGAAGGATCACTGTACTGTTAAGCAACAAGACCTGGTGTGAGTTTGGAAGCCCCTCATATTACTACCCGGAAGGTGCTCGATCAGATGAAGAATGTCCATTTTTCCCCGAAGCCCCTTTAGGCATATAGCCAATGTAACAGCAATGAATATTTTAACTGGGATGTCTTAATCTGGTGTCTTGTCATAAGTGACCTTAAAAAAACCGTTTCGGATATCTTCCACGTGTGATTGCAATGAAAAAGAATGTTTAATTATATATAGCAACTTAAAGAATATGGAAACCCAAAATTTCTAACATTATTAACACCTTACAAAGCCATCCACAACTCTGCCCCCAGCTACATCACTAACCTTGTCTCAAAATACCAACCTAATTGTTCTCTTTGTTTATCCCAAGATCTCCTGCTCCCTAGCTCCCTTGTCACCTCCTTCCATGCTTGCCCCCAGGACATCTCCCGAGTCTCTCTCATCCTCTAAATCCCTACCACAATCTGTCCAACCATCTCCTACTCTGTCCACTTTTAGACGCTCCCTGAAAACCCTTCTCTTCAGAGGCCTACCCTGCCCCCATCTAACAAATGTACTTTTATTTTCTCCATCAGCTCATCCCCCATTATTACCTTTTGTATCTCTTGATCCTCTCTCTTAAGACTGTAAGCTCTAACGAGCAAGGCCCTCTGATTCCTACTGTATTCAATTGTATTGTGATTGTACTACTGTCTGCCCTTATCTTATAAAATTGCTGCCGAAAACTGTTGGCGCTTAATACATTCTGAATAATAATAATATTTCATATCCTTGATATGTGCCTGCTGTACCATGTACTTTGAATGAAAAAGTATCCTGTTCACTTTGTATTGCTTCCTTTGTGTGAAATCCCAGGTGTTCTGCCAGTCCCTCTGCTATCCTATTACAAACTGACCACACTAGGCAAGAGATCACAGTGTGGTCCGTTCTCTAGCCTGCGCAGCCATTTACTGGGATGTTCAGCATGCTGCTGCGCTCCCCCCCCCCCCCCCCCCCCCCCCCCCCCCCCAGTTCTCTGTTCTCAGCTGCACAAGGAGCTTAGGGGTAAAAGGGTATTATAATTGAGTTTTTATATGTAAGACACAAAATGTTTTGCCTTTCATTTCTATTTTAAACTGAATGGGTTGTTTTTTCAAGGTGTGGGTTTACATATACTTTAACTTGAAAATATACATTGCTAATGGTTTTTTTCTTTAGAATAAACATTACAATATACATTGATAGTGCTGAGAATACTTCTCTGTATACTCAGATTAATATCGCTTTGGAAGCACAAAGAGCCTATTCACCATGAACAAATGCAGACTATCAGAAAAAGAAGTGTATTTGCCAGTCATAGACATTGAAATAATTAACTGTATAAGGTTTTAATTACAATGTCAGAGATGATCATCCTAAAACTAACAGAAGAAGGAAAGCATCTAATGTATACACAATAATAAAATTACCACATGTAGCATAAATCTAACATACAGTAAGGTCTTTTTTTCCCGTGCTGCTTTTACAGTACTGAATAGTAACACTTCTACAGCAGACTGTGCTATTTCTCTCCCTAGCAATGATACCTGTACTAAAGCCCTTCCCCCACAGGAATTCCCATTCCTGGATCCTCCATCCTGCATTGCAGCATCCTCTGCAGCTGCCTGTTACCACCTTCTGTAGATTAGATGCGCATGCAGGCACAACCCCACTGATGCCTTGATTGCTGAGCTGTAATCTGCTAATGAAGGGCTGGCATAGAAAGAATGATCATGCACAACACTTATTTAGCAAAGAACAGCCCCGACACACACACAAACAACAATTATGTTTAAACTGCACAACACTGACACACAAAAGCAAACATTTTACAAAAAGAGTAAAGTGCCAAGTGCAATTTTTTAAATATAAAACGGCAAACTGGGTGTGCCACCTCTTATGCTGCCAATAGCAACCAGATATGTTTAACTATGGAAATGCCAGCTAAGCCCCCACTGGCTTTGTAACCTTGTTCCCAGGTTGAAGCATGTAAAAAGCCTGCAAAAAACAAACATAGTAATAGCTAATGTTCCAATACACACTACCTGTTTACTTCATGTTGCTATGATATTTTTAGAATGTATCTGTGGGCTGTTTAAAAGATTATTAGCTTGTCAAAACCCAATGTTTCCATAGCAACCATCTTAAGGTGTCCTATTTTTCCATTTTTTATTACTGCAAACACAAGAATCTTTTTTTTTTAAAGAAATGCAACACTTATGAGCATGGCTTCGTCTGACAGTATTTACACAGTTGTTTGTACACAGAGAAAGACGCTACCTTCCCACATTCTGCTTCATTGAGGGGAAGATGCCGTATTTCTCTTGTGCCGTACTACAGCACTTCTATTCAGGCCAACCATTTCCCTAAAGCACAGCTACTCCTGCGGTTTGGAGGCCTGATGAAAAGAAATTCAGTGATTGTTCACAGAGGGTGAACGTACAGGAAAGAATACATTTTATGTGCCCTCAAACCTCAAAGTGGTGAACGTACAGGAAAGAATACATTTTATGTGTCTTCAAACCTCAAAGTGGTGAACGTACAGGAAAGAATACATTTTATGTGCCTTCAAACCTCAAAGTGGTGAACGTAAAGGAAAGAATACATTTTATGTGCCTCAAAGTGGTGAACGTAAAGGAAAGAATACATTTTATGTGCCCTCAAACCTCAAAGTGGTGAAAGGAAAGAATACATTTTATGTGTCTTCAAACCTCAAACCTCAAAGTGGTGAACGTACAGGAAAGAATACATTTTATGTGCCTTCAAACCTCAAAGTGGTGAACGTAAAGGAAAGAATACATTTTATGTGCCCTCAAACCTCAAAGTGGTGAACGTAAAGGAAAGAATACATTTTATGTGCCCTCAAACCTCAAAGTGGTATTAAACCCAAAACAAAAAGGGTAATATATGCAGATTACCAATCATTAGATGTGGTGGCTGTGTTATCTTTTTTTTAG